ATTTGAGATGGGGTGGGGACAGGTCCCAGCGCTGCCTCTAAAATCGTCTGCCTGAGAAGGTTCCTGCGTAACATACATAACTAGAGCGATAGCCCCCTTCCAGGGTGCTGGGGAAGCCCTGTGTTGCTGATAGTGGATGCACGTGAGAGGAAAATCTGGTGTAAGGCGTGGTCGGGGCCCGGGCGTCAGCGACCGTGTGCCCACTGCGTTCATCACTGTCCTGTGTGTATCGAGCTCTTGTTCTTCCAGCCTCTGGGTCACCGTGTATGAAATAGACGTACATACGTATGTCTACAGCATGACGGAAACATCGGTCGCTAATGTGATTTCTGATTTCTCGTGATCTTGACCCCTTAGAGTAAGGAGTCTTTGGGCAGCAACTGATAATCGTAACCAATATTTCTTGAGCACTTACTGTGTGCAGGACCCATATTTAGTACTTGATGTGAGTTCCCAGGCTTTTGCCTTGGTTCTTAAAGGATCTGACACAGAAAAAGGATGAGACCCATCTTTCCTTGTTTCTTGTTTCTGCGTCTCCCTTTGCCATCGAAGATTCTGGAAGTGGAGGTGGAGGGAGGAGGAATATGCTGGCATTAGGCGGAAGGAAAGCTGGGTGAGGCGTTTAGAAGGGGAGGAGGCCAGGAAGACGAGGGGAAGAGAAGAGGAACGAGAACGGAGGGCGGCGAGTGTGACGCCTGCGTTTGTCCCTCGAATCCAGTCCCGGCCTTGCATCTCCTCGCTGCCCCTGGGGCTGGCCTGCCCTCCAGCTTCCAGTTAGGGTTGGCTCCCGGGTGTGCCTGGCAGGAGATAAAGGTGAGAGGAGGGAGAGGTTGGGTGTTTATACCCTGCCACCTCGCCATGGGTTGGCCGTGACTCTCTGCCAAAGGCTGCATCACCTCGGTACGGCCACCATCTCAGGCTCAGGTCACGGCTCCTGCCTCTGCTCCCCGAGCCCCTGGGTTCTGCCACTTCCTGCTGCTGCCAGCCCCCATTCCCTGCTCTGCCTTCTGCCGGTCTCTGCACCCTGTGCTCAGCCCTGTAAACCGTCCCCTTTTGAAACTCTCAGTCACCCGTTTGGGCATCCTGTCTGTCTGGGACCCTGACATGCAGATAGGAGAGTCACCAGCTCAGAAGGCAGAGCATGGCCAGAGATGTAAAGTGTCCTTTACCCCAAGTACCCCACCCCCAAGTTTTCTTGATGGGGAAGCTCTCTGGGCTGGAACGCAGGGGAAGACAGGTTTGATCTTCATCCCAGGTAAGGCCTCGGCTTCACCATTGCCTTCCAGGGGGCCCCTCTGCACTGTTTGCAGCAGGAAAGCCTGTTTGTATTGGGAAACCCACATTCTGGGCACACGAATTTGGTGCCCAGATGGTGCCTGTATTTACAAAAGCCCAGCACACTGACAGGACCTGCAGACACATGGATAAACATTTTGCCTTTCTTCTTAGGCAATATTTGAGTCTTTCAAATTTAATTGCTGTCAAGGCAGGATGCTTGCATCCCCGAGGCAAAGCAAATAGTGAGGCCTCCAGTGGGGCTGTGGCTGTGGCAGAGGCTCCAGCCAGGCTCCCTGGCCGCCCCCGAGGTACTTGTCTGTCAGCTCCTTGCTCTTGCTGAGTGTCAAGTGGCCGGGTGGGCTGGGGGTGAGGGAAGCCGAGGGGGCTGGCTGCAGCCTGCCTGGAACCCTGTGGTCGTTTGTTGAGTTTGTTTTGAGGCTAAGAGAACCTGATTTAGCTAAGAAATCAGGTATTTTTCTCAGAAATTAGTGATGGGCACCCCTGGGATCTTGTTTGGGTCTCCGAAGCTGGGTCCAGGAGTGTTCTGTTAGCTGCTAGTGTGTATGACACCTTTGTGCTTATTGGACTGAGGCAGTCCCTCGGGCGGGGGCGGACCCCTCCTCCCCAGCAGAACGCACGGCTGGGCAAGCAGAGCGGTCGCTGGATTTCAGAGCCCAGGTGTCCCCAGGAGGTGGCCTTGTGCAGGGCACAACCTGCTCAACAGTACATGTCCAAGGTCGTTGCTAGTGATATTCTTATTAAAATCCTCTATCCTTTTTCATCTTTCTCTCCTTTTTTTTTTTTTTTTAAATTGCTCTATTCACCCTTCGGATTCCATTCACAAGGTGCTGTGAGAGGCCGTTCTGCCTGTGTCTTCCGTCTCCCTCACCATGACTGACAAGCCTTTCTTTACATTGTCCAGACAGGGAAGGAGTGTTTGCTGCAGAGTCACAGAGTTCCGTGACAGTCACCCGTTCTAATTTGCCTCAATTATTTCAATCCCTCGCATGTCATAGAGGCGGTTGGATCCCTTGCCTGCTGTGGTTTTACAAAGGGGCCTCGTATTATTCATTCCTTTCTTCAAAGCACATGTGATTGGTGCTCACCCTGCACCGGAAGCCAGGGAGATCAAGATGAATGGACGAGACGAGTCCCTGCCCTTGAGAAACTCATAGTCTGGTGGGGGAGCGAGGCGCGTGAACAGATAAGTCACGCGCTGTTGGTGAGCTTGGCGCAGGGGACAGGTGTGTGTGTGTGTGGGTGCCCAGCGAGGGCCCCCTGCGGGGCGCGGCGGGCCGAGGGCAGCTCTGCCGGGGACCTGCCTGTCAGCCTCTGCTCAGGACGAGTAGACGTGCGTCACTTGAGGAAAGGCAGGGAGGAGAGTAGGGGCAGAGTCGGGGCCAGGTGGGAAGGGCCACCTGGCGGAGCGTGGGGTGTGTGATGGCTGGCGCTGGAACTTTCCGCCGGAAGAGTATGGGGTAGTCTGTGTGGAAGAGACACCACAGCTTCCTTTCTGGAATATACGTTCTGGACTACAGCAGGGTGGAGTGGGGCGGAGTGGACAGAGACTCTGGTCAGACAGTTCTGGGTTCTGATCCTGTTGCTGCTTCCTCCTTGGGCGTGTCACATCATCTTGAGCCTCCATTTTCTTATTTGTAAAATAGGAGTGATGATCCTAGTAATACCTACCGAATTGGGTTGTATACAGGATTAAGCAAGACGCTGTCCATAACAGAGTTCCCGCGGGTGGCATAAGTACAGGACTTGAGTGGGTCACAGTGTGTTGGATGCTGGTTCCCGCAGCCTTCGGAGAGGCTGGCAGAGCTGGGCCAGCGCGTCTGTTGATCCCAGGTGCCTCTTTTCTGTGTGTGCCGTGACACGAGTCAGGTTGGGAACCACTGGTCTGCGAAGCACTCGGCACGGCTCTCCGACTTCCTGAGTCTCCAGGGACTGCAGCTTTGTAGAGCTTGGTCATTGTTACTATGGAAGGAATGGGGACAGAGAGGAGAGGCTGGAGTCCAGGGAGGTTTCTGAGGTAGAACGGACAGAATGTGCGGACCAGCCAGGTGTGAGGGAGGAGGGGCCCCCCTAAAGCGAGGGCGGCATCGAGGGCGACTGGGGTTTATGGTGCTGTTGGCTGGATGGGAGGCCATGCTGTTAATGGAAATTGGAGCGTGTGGGTTTGAGGACGTGGAGGCCGTTTGCTTTCGGCAGAAGTATAGCAAGTTCGGGAGGAAGGGAGACAGGGTGGGGGTGTGGTCGGGGGAATGCTGGGGCCTGTGAGAGACTTCAGGGTGTTTTCGTAGGCCAAGGGGACGGAGGCAGAGGAGTTGAAAATTAAAGACTAAAGGAAAGGAGTACATAACACTTTCCCCAAACTTCGCTTCTTTGAACCGCATCTGTCCCATCGGAGGACTGTCTGCCAATAGCTGGCAGTTGGGCAGTTGTCCAGATGTGATTTACAATAAGGCATTGATTTCATGAGAGGCACTGTCTAAATTATTGCACTCCACCAATTGCCAGGTTCCCTGCTGACATTGAGCCAGGGGTCAAACAATTCAATCAGGTGCCACACTTATAAATTGAAAATCAGTGGGGTGCAAAATGGATTACCATCAAAAACCATTCAGGTGCACAAGCAAATTTTAAAACCCCTAACTTTTAAAAATCACTCCTTTCCTGATTCTTCACAATGCCCCGAAATTGAGTTTTAATATCCCCCAGATAAGCAAGCGTCAATAGAAATGGCTGCAGGGACCGTGAGTGGCAAGGGAAGAATGCCCAGTCACGCCTTCCTGTTGGAATTTGCTAACAGGGTGGATTTGTGAATTAATACCTTGGCAATTCTGTTAGATTCTTGAAGGCAGCGGTTCTCAAATTTAAGCGAGCAATGGAATCACCTGGAAGGCTTATTAAAATTGAGATTGCAGGCTTGACCTCCTTGTTTCTGATTCGGTGTGTCTGGGGTTAGACCTGGGAAATTGCAACTCTAGCAAGTTCCCAGAATGCTGATGCCATGGCCCCAGAAGCATACTTTGAGAACCTTTGCTCTAAGATCTAGGAATATTTTGATAATTTGACTAAGAAAGAGCATACATTGATAATGACAACTTATCGGTAAAGGTCCTATTGGACCAGGTGTTGAGTATGTGAAGGGGCTTCAATTTTTTCCCGGAAACCTGAGAAGAGACTGGTTCAAGGAGATAGAGACTGATCTGAGTGCTTTGTCTTCAGAGGTGAGGTTGGGGGATGGGACAGAGAGAAGGGAACAGGCCCCTCCTCTAGCTTGGCATTCCACAGACAGCATGTGCTACAAGCACAAATGACATCATCAAGGCCCAAGCCTGCTCGCTTTTGGTCCGTGCTTACAAAACACCGTTAATGTCTTTCGATGCCAAACTTCCTCCCTTGACTTAAACGCTGATTTCCTTAAACACACATGGGTACTACCTTCTCAGCAAGCCATCAGCCTAAACCGTGGCTCTCCCCACCTCCGAATGATGCCAGAGATGTGTTTTTCTAACCGAATCTCTAGCGTTTGATTTTAGTTTCACTCTCCTGCTCTTTTGGAGTCAAAGTTACTGCTTTGCATAAACTATAGGTGTCACCAGGCTCAATATGAAACCAGTCCCTTTCCCTAGGACAGAAAAATGGATCCCAGAAACTGCCTCAAACGTGGTTGCTTCCTCACTGACGCTTGGTTTCCTGCCTCTCTTTGCCAGGAGAGATCGAGCGATGCACATACATCAAATACCACTACTCCTCGGCCAGCATCCCCAGGAACCTCACTTTCAACATCACGAAGACCATCCGCCAGGATGAGTGGCACGCCCTCCGTAAGTACACCTGACTTTCTTCCTTTGGCCGTGACCTTCGGAAAGCATGGGGTTTGGATGCCCATCAACAGCTTGGTCTGGGTAGAAGGCTGTTCTTCTCTCTGAGGCCTGTGGACAGTCTGGGATCAGGGCGGCGGTTCCTGAACGCGTCAATGTCTGTGGGTCACAGTTGCCTCAGTTGGTTTTGATTCTATTATAAATTTGAGGATTTTGCTTCTGAAATTAAAAACAAACAAACAACTAGCAGTTAGACGATGGTCAGTGATCTCACTTCACTACCCTAGTAGGCATTTCAGATTCCACCCACCGAACCGACTCCTGGGATTTCACTATAGTGTGTCTCCAGGTTGCTCGGAGCGTTATTGTGGAAACCTGCTCATCCCTTGTGTCATGCTCTGTACGGGCTGAGCTGGCCCGTGATTGCAGGCTCACTGAATGGTGGGGTCACTCAATGGTGGGGCCTCGTCCTCAAATTACAAGTTTCCGGCTCCCCCAGGATGACAGACGCTGGGGCCCTGGTTTGCACTCAGGTGCTCAGCGAGGATCAGAATTCTCGCTTCTCTTGGTTGGGGAATTTCTTGGTCAGGGATCCTCAGAGACTTAAGTTGTGATGGGAGGGTGACTTAATGAGCAAACAAGAGTGAGTTGGCTATTTTTACTCTTCTTCTCCCTGGGGGATCTGTGCTCGTCTGGGGCAGCAATGCTCTCCTCCGTTGCTGGCACAGTTCTCCGTGTGAACACATTCTTACTCTTAGTAAGCTCCACGCCGTCACTGTTGCATTTGTCCTTTCTTTCCTATTCCGGCTCTTTCCACATATCTCAAGGTTAAGATGCAACTCACTTTGATGTGGGAAAGAGGGTCTTTTGTTTCTTGATAAAAAGAATGTTAAACTTTGAAGAAGCCTAAAAACACCTTTCTTCTCTTTATTGTCGCCTGGTTATCTTTTGCATGCCTGGAACCGACCAGGTACGTTCCACTTTTTGGTTTGAGTTTAATCCAACAACCATACCTTGGGAGTCAGGGGTGGTGAGAGAGACAAGTAAAAATAAACAGGAAAGAGCAATCATTCATTGGTTTCAAGAAAAAGATTGTGGATGGTTGTGACTGATGCCATTGGCCTGAAATGATAGAGCAGGTGTCAGCAGGTGGGGAGGCATCACCTAAATGGTGGCCCTACTAGCTGTATCATTTCTAGAGACACTAACCTGAACATGGGGACAGGTTGCTCATGTTCAATGAGCATTTCTACATTCTAGCCACTAAGTGAAGCGCACCACATCCTTATTTAATTCTAGTGTGAAGTTTGCCTCGAAGAGCCGCACAATTGAAGTTCTTAATTTCCCTTTTGGAGGTAGACCTATAAGGAGCTGCCTCTGTAAATACCTGAGCATGACTGCTGATTTGTCACATGGCATTGGTCTACTATAGACAGTTACGGAAGCCGAAAAAGGATGTTCAAAGTACACAATAAGCTTTGTTGAATAACCACTTAAATATAACTTAAGTTATGGGGGTCATAATGGAATCTAAGAAGGAAGAAGTCATTGACATAGCAGCTTCGATTCAAATTCACTCAATTCATCTAAAGTTACCGAGTTTCTCTATGTACCAGGCACGTAGTGGATAGCGAGGCCACAAGGAGCTCTTTCCAGGAGCTCACATCTGGAGGCGGAGGAGGATGGTGGGGAGAGAGATACATTCGCAAGCAAATAATTACCAGGCAATGCGATAATTACGATATAGTAAAATTGCTTCAAGCAATTAAGATAGTTTGTGAAAGTTTTTCAGCAAGAAGGAGAATTATTTTAGTGTCAGTTGCACGGATGCATTTCAAGGGAAACCTGGTAGAACTCTTTTGGCTGTTTACACAGTAGACGTCTGGAATCCAAATAGATTACTCATCGCAGCATCACTGAAAATATGTTACATGGTGTCGGCCAAGATGGAGAGAGGGGCTAATGCTAGGGTTTGCGGAATCTTCTTGAGGCCCGTGTCTCCAGGGTCCTCATTCCTAAACTGTAGTGCTGTTGGGTTTTGCAAAAACTAGTGTGACACTCGTGCTGTGATTGGGGTGCTCACAGATCTATTTTTAGCTCAGCGACTGATATTTGCAAAGGTTTTGGGCACCCTGTGTTGGCGCAGTGGAGGCTGCCCTTTGGTGTGAGATTCATATGCCTCTTTCACCGAGTGGCCTCGTGGGCTGTTAAGCAGGCAGAGAACATTTGCCATTCCTGACATCGATGACAGCTATTTTTAGCCAGAGTGCAGGTGAGCATCTGTCTCATCTGAAGTTGGTACTAAGTGTCAATGGCAATGCTGGTGAAATGGGGAAGCACAGTCAATGGCAGTTTTAATTTTCAGAGTTCAGATATTGATGGCACTAAGTAGGAAGTGGACACACATGAGCCCCCTTTGGAATAAAGTAGAAACTATCAAAGATTGGCAGACTCCTATGATCAAGCTTTGGAAATTAAAAAAAAATCAGACTGATTTCTTTACTTGAGAATCCTGTACTCTTTAATACTGTAAATGGGATCAAATAAATTCATATGATACTAGATTGGTTATCATTTAATAATTTGACTATAATATTTACATTCTATAATTTTTCTTGATACATAAGTTTCGTCAAAGGAAAGAAATTTGATTTTTTTTTTAAAGCAACTTCAGGCAACTATTTTGGACTTCGGTTTTACTTAGGTTATACATTATTCATCATGAATTTGCATGTGGCTGTCAATCAATGATGTGGCAAAAATTTCAAATAGGAAAAGCAGAATTTAAAAATTATGCTGTGGTTCTGCAACGGTTAACCCTGCCAATGGGAGGCTTAACTATCTGGCTGTGAGCTCCTTCCCCTTACAGGTGAACAGCAGGTAAAAGGATAAAATGATCCATAGGCCACGAGGCTTACAAATCCAGGTGTAAATAGATAATAACCACCTTGGGAAGTAAAGGCCAGAGAATTGAATGTGTGTGTGTGTGTGTGCTCGTTCGTTCGTTCGTTCGTTCGTTCGTTCGTTCGTGTTCGTTCACGCGTGTGCGCCTGTGTGTGTGTTTGGGGGAGGCTCTGACTGAGGTTTGAATGCTGAGCTGTTTGAGTGACTGGGTGATGAGGTTCTGACTTGGCTTGGACGGCACAGGCTGGTGAGGTGTTGTGTGTGCCTGCTTCTCCTTCCTGCCCTGGCCGAAGCTTCCTGGGAGAAGGCAGAACTCCTCCCGGAGTTGGGACCTGTGCCGTAGGTCCACGTGGCTCAGGGCAGTCCCCCGCCTCCTTAACTGCCTGCAGCCCCTCCCTGGGCCCCAGGGACCTGAGCCTCTGTGGGCTCTGGGTGCGCTGCACTCCTGACCCAGATCCTGCTGCTGCCTCCAGGGCTGAGGCAGGACAGGCGAGTGTCACTGGGCCAGTGAGGATGAAAGGGTGGCTGCAAGAGCTGAGCTTGGCTGATGCCACTCTCCGGGTGGTTGTCTGGCCTCATGGTTCGAGCGTGACAGAATCAGATGAGCAGCGGTCAGGGGAAGCAGGCTGGCTTTGCAGTGGCATCTGAAGCGGTGCTGCCTCCTCCTCTCACTAGATCCCACAGGCTTTTCTGTGTGAGGTTGCAGTGCTTGTTTGGGGAATGCTGTGTGCTGTGTAAGCTCCAGAGTCCCTGAGGCCATCCCGAGTGGCCTACCTTTGCTCTCCCTGCCCCTGGCGCCACTTCAACATGCCCTTTCAGCTCAGCCAGGGGCCAGGATACTGCCCAGTGGCACTGCAGGGAAGGGGAGCCTGAGGGCCTGTGACGGGGACAGGGCAGCCAGGAGTCTGAGAAAGCAGGGCCCGGGAAGATGTTGTCACCGAGAGGGAGCTGGCATGGAGTGGCGCTGGGCCTGGGGCTGCACCGGGGGACCCCAGGGAGGCTGGCAGGGGCACCCCCTGATCCGCTTGGCAGGGGCTCTGGGCAGCTGGTGCAGTTTCTGTGCTAGCGAGCTTTCACAGTCCCAGGGATGGGTTCTTACGCGTGGTGACCCCCGCGGAGGCCAGCCTTGCAAACAAGAGGCAGCTCACCACAGATTGCACACAAGGCCCTGAGACGCTGTGCTTGTGAGCTCAGGCTTCCCCATTCCACTTGGCGTTTTCAAGATGGAGGTTCCTGCTCACGGTCGATTGCAACCTGGCAGAGGGAGTTGGGGAGCTGGGGGCTCTACTTCCCTCCAAGCAGATCTTCTCTGTTATCTTTCAAGAGGCTGAGAGCCTGGAAAGCTAGATTTTTTTAAAGCCTCCTTAGTCCAGCTAATTAGATGGGACGGTCATGTAGCGCATTTCCGGTTGGCCGGGGGAGGGAAGGAGATGACTTCCAGCACCTCCTGGCCCCCGCCGACCCTGCTGAGGGCCCTGACCCCTCCCCATCAACACCCTCACACAGTGGCCTGGAAAGTGGAATCAGTGGAAGTAAGGCTGGTTAAAGAGGGAGGGAGGGCATTAGGGAAGGGGCATTGGGGACAGGGGGAAAGGGGACAGGTGGAGGCTGAAGCCTTGTGCAGGAAGAAGGACATTTCCATGGACATGTGGCTGAGAGAGAGAGGAAATCAAAATGCAGACTGTCCTGTCTAATGCAGACACGTGAACGACACACTTGGCTCCCTGTCCCTGAAGCTCTTGGCCACTCGCAGCGGGGGCCCGTGGGCTAGCTCAGTCGTGGGGGACCAGCCACCATCCAGGCCACAGGCTGAGAGGCCCAGCCTGTCCTGCTGCTCTGGCGAGGATGTATCTGGCCTCTCCCACACCCTCCCCTCTTTCCAGAACTAGCACATGCTGCCCCTGAACCCTAGTCTCCTGGTGCTTCTGTGACTCCCTCCAGTCACCCCCACATACTGCCCTCCTCTTGGGCCCCAGGCTGCGCCTTGCCCCTCCCCACTGCCATCAGCCTCTGCCCTTGGACTTATGTAGGCCCTTTGCCCAATGGCACTTCCCTTTTCTTTTCTCGATGGGCTGCCCTGGGAGCTCCTGGACCAGCTG